CTACTAAATAAGACAAAACACCTCTAGAAATTTTGGAATCCAATATAGAGCGAACTTCATATTCCTCCTGTCCACCAACCACCAGAGGCGGAGGAGGAGTTACCAATTTTGTGTACCGATTACAAGTGAGAGGCTTCAACAGAGATACATGGAACGTGTTAGCAGTTCTCATGTGTGCAGGGAGGGCCAATGAATATGTCACAAGATTAATGTGACGAAGGACACAGTAAGGCCCTATGTATCGAGGAGCCAGGTTCATGGAAGGAACTTGTAGTTTAATATGACGTGTGGAAAGCCAGACCCTGTCCCCTACTTGATAGACAGGATTGGCACCACGCCGCTTTTCAGCCTGGACTTTAGTACGTTTAGAGGCTAACTACAATGCCTCATGCACTGAAACACAAGTATCTCTGACAGAGGCTAAACAGATGTCAAAGGCAGGAATATCAGTGCCCGTTAATTCAGAAGGTAATACAGTGGGGTGATAACCATTATTTACAAAAAAGGGACTAAGACTAGAGGATTCATGAGTCGCATTGTTTCTGGCAAATTCAGCCATGGGCAAGAGCTCAGACCAGTTCGACTGATTGGCATCAATAAAGCCACGCAAATAAGACTCTAAGGCCTGGTTGGCTCTCTCTGCTGCCCCATTGGTCTGAGGGTGATACGAAGAGGAAAAAGAAAGTTCTATGCCCAACTATTTACAAAAACACACCTAAATCTATAAATAAATTGGGTATCTCTGTCAAAAACAATGTTTTTCGGTACCCCATGTAGCCTAAAGATTTCCCGCAAGAATATTTGGACAAGATCCTGAGAAGATGGCAATTTCTTGATAGGTATTAAGTGCGCCATCTTGGAGAATCTATCCACAACCATAAAGATAGTGTTATACCCATTGGAATTAGGGAGATCCACAATGAAATCCATTGCTAGATGGGTCCATTGAGCATCTTTTATCGAAAGTTACTGTAACAACGCAGGAGGAGATTTACGAGGCACCTTAGAAACTGCACATATTCGACATGCTCCCACTTAGTCCCTGACATCACCTCTAAGTGTTGGCCACCAGAACTTTCTAGCAATGGCAGAGAGGGTTTTGTGTATCCCAGGATGTCTGGCTGTCAAGTTGTCATTGGAATAACCCAAGCACTTTAGTCCTTAATGATGGCAAAATTAACAGTTTGTTAGGTGGTCTCTCTGCAGGTGCCTGAGTTTGATTCGCTATTATGGCACATAGAAGTGGAGAAGACACTTCCGCAACCGTCATAGAAACTAGACACTTGGGGGGGGGGGGTACAATCGGGAATACCTCCAGTTTGGAAACCTCATCTGTCTCAAACTGTCTGGACAGCGCATCTGCCTTTGTGTTCTTAGTGCCAGGTCTATAAGTAATAACAAAATTGAAGCGGGAAAGGAAGAGTGACCATCTAGCCTGTCTGAAGGACAATCTCTCGATATAAGCCAAGTTCTTGTGATCAGTGAAAATCAGGAGCGGCTCTTTGGAACCTTCTAAGAGATGCTTCTATTCCTTGAGAGCGAGAATAACGGCCAATAACTCCCTATTCCCCATGTCATAGTTTTTCTCAGAAGGTGTCAGTTTTCTAGAGAAAAACCCACAGGGATGTAAAGGTACATCAGGACTCCCTCGTTGAGACATAACTGCCCCTACTCCTGTCTCTGACGCATCCACTTCCAATATAAAAGGTTTAGCAGGATCGGGATGTGTTAAAACAGGTGCTGAAGCAAAGAAAGATTTTAATTTACCAAATGCCTCTTTTGCTTCCTTGGGCCAAGAATTACATTTAGCTACTTTTCGGGTAAGGTTGGTGATAGGAGCTATCACAGATGAGAAACCTTTAATGAATTTGCGGTAGTAGTTTGCAAATCCAATGAAGTGTTGTATGGCTCTAAGGACTTTGGGTAATAGCCATTGCAATACTGCCTCCAGTTTGCATGGGTCCATCTTAAAACCAGAGGGGGATATAACATACTCAAGAAATTGTATTTTGGTCTGGTCAAACTGGCCCTTTTCTAGCTTGCAGTATAAGCCATTATCCAGCAGGGTTTTTAACACTGTTTTCACATGTTCAAGATGAGTACACAGGTCTGGAGAATAGATGAGAATATCATCTAGGTACACCAACATGAACATGTGGAGGTATTCTCTGAGGACATCATTTATAAAATCCTGGAATGCTGCTGGGGCGTTGCACAAACCAAACGACATGGCCAGGTACTCATAATGTCCCATTCTGGTATTGAACGCTGTCTTCCACTCATGTCCCTCCTTAATTCTGACTAAGTTATAAGTGCTCCTAAGGTTGAGTTTGGTAAATACTCTAGCACCCTTGAGCCTGTCGAACAGTTCAGAAATAAGGGGGATTGTGTAGGCGTTCTTAATAGTTATTTTATTAACACCCCTATAGTCAATGCAAGGGCATAGGTCGCCTTCTTTTTAAGAGACGAAGAAGAACACAGCCCTAGAAGGAGAAGAGGATCTCCGTATGTGGCCCTTCCTTAGAGCATCCTTTATATACTCCTCCAAACAGAGGGTTTCTTGAGGAGATAGCGCATAAACTCCCCCTTAATTAAGCAGATTAATAGCACAGTCATAGGGTCTATGCAGTGGTAATACCTCTGACTGAACTTTATTAAAAACCTCTTTTACCTCCAGATATTGATGTGGAATCTCTGTGGTTAAGGGAGGTGCAGTAGGTACATTGATAGTGCCAACACATTGTGGCATAAAGTTTTTACAATGACCCTTGCAATCCTCTCCACAACCCTCAATCTCTCCTTTAATCCAATCTAGACAAGGGTTGTGTCTCTGGAGCCAAGGGAAACCGAGCATTACAGGACAGGAAGGGGAAGAAATAATTTGAAAAACCATTTCCTCAGAATGTAGAATGCCTACTGAGACAGTGATGGGTAATGTCTCCTGAGTGATGAGAGGTTGGGTAAGGGGTCTCCCATCAATGGCCTCAACTGCAATTGGTCTATCTCTCTGCCATAGTGGCATGTGATGTTTGGCAGAGAATTCTCTATCAAGGAAATTCTCCACTGCCCCAGAGTCGATCATGGCCTCACACTGAATAGTAGTTCTTTACAGTGCAGGGTAAGTTTCTCAAGGAAACGGGTCTTAGTCAATTTGGGGGACATATACATCACACCTAAGGTCGGTCCCCGGACATACCTTAGGTGCGCAGGTTTTCCGGACGGACCGGACATGAGACCCTTTGATGTCCCTTCTTCCCACAATAAAGACACAACCCTTCATTTCGTCTGTGCTGTCTCTCCGCCTCTGTCAGCTTAGTTATACCCAATTGCATGGGTTCAGTCTCTGGAAGCGGAGCAGGGTTAGCTACCACTGGGTTGGAAAAAAGAGGGGCTATCGATAGGTTAGCACGTCCTGTGCGTTGCTTGCTTCTCTATCTCTTAATCTATTATCAATGTCAATCATATAGGCTACGAATACATTAAGATTGACAAATTGACAAAAAGATCCCTTACGGCGGTCTCATCTTGAATATTCTCAGCTAAACCCTCTGAAAAGGCGGCAAACAGACCACTGTTAGTCCAGTCCATCTCAGAGGCTAAGGTCCTAAATTCTATAGCGTAGTCAGCCACGGAACGATTGCCTTGCTTAATTCTCATAAAGGCTTTGGCTGCATTCTTCTCTCTTCCCATAGGTTCAAAGGTTGCTTTGAACTCAGTCAAGAACTTGCTGTAATTACGGGCAATGGATTTGCCACTCTCCCATAAAGGGTTGGCCCAAGTTAACGCCTTACTAGTTAGCTGATTCATAAGATAGCCAATCTTTGACCTATCTGTTGGGAAGGAGCCAGGAGAAGCTTCAAAGTGATATTCAGTTTGATTAAGGAAACCCATAAACTCTTTGGGATCACCTCCAAAACAAGGAGGAGGAGAAAGAGTTATGGATGGAGGCTTGTACACTACAGGTACAGGTGGGGGAGCTACCGGTTGCACCGGAGGTGCTTCGAGATATGCTGTATCAAAAACAGGGCAAGAAAGCGCACTCTCGGGAACCAGGAACAGAAACCACGGCAGGGCAATGGCCTAGGGAACTTCAGGGATTTAAATATCCCTCATTTGTCTGTGATTGGTCAGAGGGTGACCTCTGACCCCAGAACATGGGTGTGTGTCGACGTCCGTTCGTGTGACCCTGGGGGGGCAGGGCTATAAATGGCAGTGACTGCGTGGTATGTGCCATTTTGCTTTAGGGCAGATGGTCAGTATGATCCGGTGGAGCAGCTCCTGACTCGCCGCTGAGTAGGTAAGCTCAGTTCGTTGGCGTGGTTGTGCCGGTCGTGAGTGACCGCACCTCGCGGCGAGCCGCGGGCCATGACATTCAATCTCCTCTAAATATTATATTCAAATGGTGTTTTTGTTTTTTGACATTCAGACATAAAACAAGGTATTTTTAATGTGTATTTCATAAAACCCCATATTGTGTTAAGCAACATCTGTGTATGTCTTTGCCACTATCTTGTGAAGCTGCAATACCATTTAAGAGACCAGGCTATTTCAGTTTTTATAGTTAGATTTGTCATAGATGGATTTGATGCACCTATGTCTCATTTTGGGGCATTATAGCGGTTTGCTCTTTAAATAACCCACAAAGGCCTACTATTTGTGAAAATAGACACATAACACGTAACTCATAACTAGATGGAGGAAGGTGGATCAGAAGTCCCAGTAACACTGTGATCGCTGTGACTGACTGTTACAGCGATCACATGGTGTGGGACATCGCCATTTGCTGCTTCAACCTCACCAATCTGGCGATAATTTTACTACATGACGTAAATTTTCCATCATCTGTCCTTAAGTGTAGGACTCACATAATGTAAATTTTCAGTGTAGTGTAACAAAGGGGTTAATTGATGATCATGGATATGTTTAATGGGCTTTTAAAAATATATTTCAAACTAGTTTAATTTTTTCACTTTGACATGTAGATTGGAAAAATCCGGGTGATGCTGAAAGAGGCAGGCCTTAGAACAGATATATCGTGCCAATACGGAGAAGACCAAATCAGAGACAAAGAGGGAGAGAAATATCAAGTTCGGGAGGTAAGAATGCTAACACTATACCATATTGGTTATACATATGGTTTAGAGTTTTAAGAACTTTAATGTAAGTAAATAAGATGATATCTTCCTCTTCAGGCATCTTTGGATCTCAGAACAACTGATATGAACAGCGGCAGTGATCCCTCCTCAACAGGGGCCGTGCAGGATACTTCCAGCAGCAGTGGCAGTAATCAATCATTCACAGGGACTGTGCAGGATCATTCCAGTGGCAGTGATCAATCATCAATAGGGGCCGTGCACTATAACTACAGTGGCATTGATCAATCATCAATAGGGGCTATGCACTATAACTACAGCGGCAGTGATCAATCATCAATAGGGGCTATGCACTATAACTACAGCGGCAGTGATCAATCATCAATAGGGGCTATGCACTATAACTACAGCGGCAGTGATCAATCATCAACAGCAGCCGTGCACTATTCGGAAACCTGATGCAAAAGCTTAATAAAAGAATCACGTTGCCATTGATTTGAGTGTTGCCATTTCTGATCTGTTTTAATGTTAACCCTATTCAATGCACCACATTAGTCATACACACATCAAGGCACTATAACTGAATTATAAAAATAAAAATGACTACACACAAACCTAGCGCCACAGCACTAGGTAGCGTGCACCAGAGGCGGCTCTAGACTTCATGAGGCTTTTGGTGAAACTCAAACATGAGGCCCCACTAACAAAAAAGTGAAAAAAATCATGTAATGTCATGTAATGTGTGTCTGTGTCATGACAGACTTATGGGGCTGGCATAGATTTTTTTCCAGGGCTGCTTTGGAATCCCCAGTCCAGCCCTGGGTAAGTGGACAGGGTGGGGGTGGCAAGGGTTATGAGAGAGAATGAGGGACAGGGAGTGTGACATGGTTTGATGAGGGAGTGTGAAAGGCAATTGAGGCATGGTAGAAGGGACGAATGTGACAGGATTAAGGGGGGTTAATGTGACAGGGTGAGTGTGGCAGAGTGAGGAGAGGTGAGTTTGTAGGGGGTGAGATTAACAGGATTAGGAGTGGTTATTGTGAGTGTGGATGCGTGAAGAGGCTGACAGTGCCTCGTCCCTGTGTGGGAGGTGATGACAGTGTAGGAAGGGGTGACAATGTGTGGGGAGGTGACAGTGTGAGGGGATGCTAACAGTGTGTCTGGGGAGGCTGTGTGTGTGAGGGGGGTGATCCTGTGTGTGAGAGGGTGATGATGTGAGGGTGATGGTGTGTGAGAGGGAGAGGGGTGATGGTGAGAGGGAGAGGGAGAGCGGTGATTGTGAGAGAGAGGGAGGCTGTCTTTGCAGGCTGGGAGTTGCTGGCTGCACTCTGTGCTGCTCCCCTGCAGATTCAGTCAGGAGAGAGAAGCAGGGATAAAACTGGAGAGCCCCCACCCCCCTTTTTTATGACTACTATTTTGTTTTTTCTTGACTACCAATTTATGTATAAAAATACTCTTATATGAAAGAAAATATCAAATTCAGACAGGACATATAACAGTCTTCCTTTATACCAAATATCCCAAATTAGACAAATGCATTTAAATAAATTATTTACACTATTTACATCACCAGTTACAATATCGGTCACTTGCTGTTAGCTGGGAGGCGAAAAATCCCCCAAAACATTAAGCACCTTGTCATTACCATCATTTATTACTAAATAAAATATGTGTTGTAGAAAAACCGAGCATTCTTCACATAGAATCTTAGATATAGGTAACTGATAAACAAGCCACTGACCCAACTGATCTGTCAGTATGGATATTCATATTAAATATATACACTTATTTGGCCGTCATTATAGCCTTCTGAACAGCTAAAGTATTCTTGAATATCTTTACCCAGTGTTTCCCAAACTTTTTACCGCGCGCATGCGTTCTATTAAACTACATATCCCACCTACCAATGCGGTATTAAAGTCACGTGACCGCAATAAATAGTATTAATTAAGCTAAATAACGCTCGTTTTTAAAGTTTATAATCTGCATTATGTTGTAACCAGTATGTATTAGCTACAATTAACATTTTATATGTGTTTTATAATTATTCAAAATATTTTATTTTCTGTATTCCTATTGGCTGGCCTCTGGTTTTGGCGCCAATTTTGAACATCTATACCTCTATTTAAAGTCACCTTGCCAGGTGTATATGTTTTATTCCATATGGATAAAGCCCTTCAGGCGAAACGCGTTTGTGGATATTTTTACTGTGTATTTTACCTATTAAAGATTTTTTTGGTCACTTTTTATTGTGCCAATCATCTTTTAATACACTCTAAACTCTGTTTTTACCTGGCATTTTTTATTTATATTTTATTTTATTATCCTGGACTCCAAGTAATCCTCGGTGGGGATTATACCACCAACGCTACCATCAAGGAGCAGTTTGCCTGCTCCACTCTTGTGAGTACCATTTTATACATATTTTATTTCTATACCGTTTTATCCAGAGAGCACTAATGGTTGTCTCTTTTATTCTCTTTGAGTGGTCAACATATCTATGAAGGAAGAAGGCTGCACTATATCCCATAAGTGGGGATCATAACGCTGTACGCTTTCCACACTAGAGCTAGCTATAGCTCTAATACATGTGAGTGCATTACTATCTTCATTTATCATCTGTTGTACCCTAGTGAACATACCACACTATTTGGTTTTCAATTTGTTTTATCGTTTCTTACTATTGGATCCCCCTGGGGAAGGACAGCAAGGATATTTTTCCTGGCCAAGCACTTTACAGACTATTTGATCTAAGGAAGCTCTATTCAGCTAAGACTTTTGTATTTGGACTACTCTCTTCTTTCAATATATATTTTATTGGTCTAATTTGGCGCAGCTTCTATTCCTGTTTTTTTCTTAATGTATATATATGAATGTAGGTCAGTGTGTATGGATGTCAGTGTATGTATGTCAGTATGTCTGCATGTATGTCTGCGTGTCATTATGAATGTATGTCTGTGTGTATGTGTGTATGGATGTGTCTGTATGCATGTATGTCAGTACGCATGTATGTCTGTATGTATGAATGTATGTCTGTGTGAATGCATATATGTATGTATGCCAGTATCAATGTATGTCAGTATGAATGTATGTCTGTATGTCATTATGAATGTGTGTATGGATGTCAGTGTCTGTATGCATGTATGTCGGTATGCATGTATGTCTGTCTGTATGAATGTATGTATGTCTGTCAGTATGTCTGTATGTATATATGTATGTATGCCAGTATGAATGTATGTCTGTATGTCATTATGAATGTATGTGTGTATGTATGTCGGTGTCTGTATGCATTGTTGTCGGTATGCAAGCATGTCTGTCTGTCTGTATGAATGTATGTATGTCTGTATGTATATATGTATGTATGCCAGTATGTATGTATGTATGTCTGTATGTCTGTCTGTATGTATATATGTATGTCTGTCTGTATGTATGTATGTATGCCAGTATGTATATATGTATGTATGCCAGTATGAATGTATGTCTGTATATCATTATGAATGTATGTGTGTATGTATGTCGGTGTCTGTATGCATTGTTGTCGGTATGCATGTATGTCTGTCTGTATGAATGTATGTATGTATGTCAGTATGTCTGTATGTATATATGTATGTATGCCAGTATGAATGTATGTATGTCTGTATGTCATTATGAATGTATGTGTGTATGTATGTCGGTGTCTGTATGTATGTCGGTATGTATGTATGTGTCTGTATGTCCTTATGCATGTTCCACAAAGTGTTTGGTATACTCGTGTTCTTCTTCTTCAAGAAAAACGAAGATTTTTTTGCTGTAATTGAAACATACAGAACAATATGGCATTCGGATCCCATATCCTCACACAATGTTTTTTGAAAAACCTTGCTTTCAGTGGCCACGTTTTTATAAGGTTTGCCACATTCTCCACAGCATCCATGTATGCCAGTCACGCTGCCAAGGGCCACTCACCTCCTCCGATAGTTCCAACAGAGAAAGAATACATACACACAGTCTCATTCACAGACACACACACTGCTTAATACATAGATACACACACTGCCTAATACATAGACATACACGCACACACACACACACACACACAATCTGCCTCCTTGACAGCCTAAGCCAATACTATGGGAAAGCATTGTGATTGGCACAGAGAATCACTTCTGATGAGGTCAGCCAACCTGGCAGATCAGGGGCATAGCCAGCAGCAGCAGATTTGAAAAAAAAGTAAGATTTTACTATATTTAGGGGGGCAAGATGTTGGTTTTAACACTATAGGATCAGGAATACATGTTTGTGTTCATGACCCTATAGTGTTCATTTACGTTTCCTGAAACTAACAATACTAAAACACTGTGTATTCAACCCTGTCTTTTCATGTAAATTTAAAATAACTGTTTGGTTGATCTTGTTGCAGATCATACACCAGTAAATGATAGGACAGTGGAAGACTGAGTGTATATATGGGAACAAGCTGCAGTATGATTCTATATCCAAGAAGCACAATTTATCGAGAAAGAAAAACACCTGCTATTTTTTCCTGTTACCCACTATTTTTAGACCATGTGATACATTTCAGGTACAATAATGCTTTGGAGAAATAAAACTGCACATTGCACAGCCATCCATCAATTACCCCTCTTCAAATCCTGCATTGCCTATTAGAGCTGGTACTTATATTTTACTTTTCTTCATCCTTCTAATGCTGAGGGCTCACTGAGGATGTGATGAAAAATAGGTCAAAGTCCTCTCTGAAATAAATACATTAATTTATTAATTCACTAGGAAAGCACAATGACATGGGACATTTTGACCTTTTAAAAAAAAAGATAAGTATAACAGGAAAAATAGAACGAGGGGCTCATTATTAGGACTTGAAATGTTATTGCCTTTGTGAGATCAGTATTACATTATTTTCCAGACCGGTTATAGAAGTACAGGTTATTTTATTTTCGGTCCCTACCATCTAAGGAGTAAATCTTAAGTATCTCGAATTTATAACATTGAAAATCATTTACCGCTGACCACAGGTCTACAGGGTCCACGCGGTCTTCATGGTCCTACTTTGCTGTATGAAACTATATGACTTCTCCCGCAGGAGGAGACTGAATGTTGCACGTGCTGACATCCATGGGACCCAGGTAAGTTGTCAAACCATACTAAATCAGAAATAGTTGTGGAAAATGTAACTATTTTAGCAAACCGCTAGTACCTCTTTAAAACGCAGTACTTGTTTTTGAAGTTGATTTGGACACACTAAACATCAGGACATTCATAGATCTATTTGTAACCCAGAGCAAGCACACAAAAGCTGATAGAAATATAAAGATTAAGCATGTATAAACTATTGTTGCCTGTAGAGGGTAGCAACACGCAACGTCAGGCTTAAATAACAATCTCCTAAACCAGAATAGTTACATCTTTAACCCCTTAAGGACACATGACATGTGTGACATGTCATGATTCCCTTTTATTCC